AAAAAAGGACTGCCAAACCAAGATGAACCACAGCTTCAAATTTGGGAACAACACCAACACAAAACACAAGCAGAGCCTTCTACATTTTATGAGGAATGTCACTGTGGATATATGTGGGTCCACTGCCAACCTGCGTATGGTGTTGCATCTATACATGTAAATGTTTGGATATGTCCCATGCGTGTATGTAAGTAATTGCAATTGCTGCTGCTGCGTTCGCAATTGGAAAAGGAAAGGAACCGAAAGCAGACATTGAATCTTGAAGGCACCATCTGCTTGGGGGAGCTGGCTAAACGATTGAAATAATGAGCCAATAACTTGTGAACTGCGTGACGTTCGGCTCGTCCCAAATTCAGCAATAAGCGTGGCGCTCCCACACCCCTTTCCTCCTCCCCCCGCTTCCTCCCCCTCCTCTCCCCCACCCCTATTTTTTTCCTATTTTTTTCCTATTTTTGAATTCTATTTTTTTCCTATTTTTTTCCTAATTTTCTAAAAATGGGCTGCTAGCTATTTCCTATTTTTTCCTATTTGTTTCCTATTTTTTCCTATTTTTTTCCTATTTTTTTCCTATTTTTTTCTTATTTTTTTCCTATTTTTTTCCTATTTTTTTCGATGTTTTTTACGTTTTTTGACGGTTTTGGGGCCCGAATTCAAAAGAAGGAAAAAATAGGAAAAAAATAGGAAAAAAATAAGAAAAAAATAGGAAAAAAATAGGAAAACAATAGGAAAAAAATAGGAAGCAGATGTTCAGAAATAGGAAAAATAGGAAAAAATAGGAAAAAAATAGGAAAAAAATAGGATTCAAAAATAGGAAAAAAATAGGGCCCAAAAATGCAAATAGGAAAAAAATAGGAAAAAATAGGAAAACAAATATAATTACTGGTATTTTTTTCATTTTTTTCCTATTTTTCCAATTTTTTCTTATGTTTTCCCTATTTTTTCTTATTTTCTCTTATTTTTTCTTATTTTTCCTATTTTTTTGGGGTGTTTTACGTTTTTTGACGGTTTTGGGAGCCGAATGTAAAAGAAGGAAAAAATAGGAAAAACATAGGAAAAATAGGGGAAAATAGGAAAAAAAAAGGTATGGTGCTGGAAGCAGATGTTCAGAAATAGGAAAAATTAGGAAAATAGGATTCAAAAATAGGAAAAAACAGGGCCCAAAAATGCAAATAGGAAAAACATAGGAAAAAATAGGAAAACAAATATATTGGGAAGTGCTTTGTAGTCCTGTGTCAAGTGTGTTTTTACGTCCTATTTTTTTCCTATTTTTGATTCCTATTTTTTTCCTATTTTTTTCCTAAAATAAATATTTTCAACTTTTATAGAAATAGCAGAAAACTTTGCATCATAATGGTATGGTTTATGTTATTGGTTTTATTAATAGTAGGTTGTTAGGATTTTGTTATTGTTGTTTTGTTGTTATGTTTTTGTTTGTAGTAGGTTGTTTTGATTTTGTTATTGTTGTTATGATTTATGGTATAGAGTATAGACTATTTTATAATCTATTGTATTGCTTATGTTGTTTTGTTTTTCTTTGTTGTTGTTTGTTGTTATGATTTATGTTATAGGTTTTGTTATTATCTATAAGGTGGAGCAGACCTCTCCGGTTGTTTATTCTGTTTTGATTTGGTTGTATAATATGGGGGGTGGGTCAGGGAAAATGACAAGATAGGTCTTTGCCAACTGTTATCCGTTATACCAATGAAACGCAATCAACATATTCCCATCTTCTGCGAGGCAGAGACCCGCCAAATATGCAATCAGCAGCTTTAGGTGGAACGTATTGGACCTACCCATGACTTTGGGGCCCAGTTTGGGGGGGCATAACTATGCATAACGAATATTACGTAATATTACCAATAATGCTGTATATCACTGTTTCAGGACCATTAGACCATGTAAAATCCACCATTTTTGCTGGTTAAATTTAATCTTAGATATCCATTAACCACCATATGATGATAAAAACCATATTAAACATGAGGTTAAACATCCATTTTTTATTGTTAATCTTGGAATCCTCCTACTCATAGGAGGAAGGGCTTATTATACCACCAGTTCCCTGGCGCTGAGGGAAGGCTGACCATCGCGAGGGTGCCAGCTGGACGGACTTCGCCAATGCGGCGAAAGCCGCCGCGGAGGCGGAGCGATGGTGGCGATGCTGGCGATGCTGGCGATGGATGTCGGGTATCCCAAAGAAGCCTTAAAGGATCGAATAGATTTCAGTAAATGATCCAAATATTATAGGGGTAACTATCCCATAGGGGTAACTATCCCATAGGGGTAACTATCCCATAGGGGTAACTATGCTGAAGGGGTTAGTGAAATATGATGAAATATTGAATAAATTATTCGGATTCACCGGGACATATGGAATCTTGGGGAGTTTTCTTTCAGCAACGCAATTTAACTTGTCAAGGGACAATAAGTTCATGGTAGGTTCGCTTGCAAAAACGGGGCAAGACCCAATTGTTCGAAGCTTTATCGTTCTATCAGCTCTGGGTATTTGCAAATAGTCAACTGGGTCTTGGTCGATGTGTAGATTCACCAACAATATTGGGCAACCAGGACCAGCGGTTCTTGAGGCCATGAGCGAAATCCATTCCACTCAATTTATTCATGGAAGTTCTCCCCCAATAAATTGAATATAATTGAGGTATGAAGGGTATGAAGGCTATGAACCACCATCAAGCCCAAGAATTCCAGGGGATTTGGTGCAGGAGAGTCCTGATGTCGATGCACTGAAGGAACTGGAGGCTAGGGCTCGAATGGGCTAGGGCTAAGGCTCGATGATATGATCCAATTGATTCCAATTGGTTGATGATGTTTAAGATGTGGTTAGTACATGCATGTTAGTACCAACCTATTGGAGATGGCGTTCATGATAGGCTTTAGACTGGAGTTTAGCACATTGGATTCATTGGATTTGATTTTGGAAGACTGTGCCGACTGAATTTCTGGGAGGCACTGCTGCATTTGCAAAAGCTTGGTGTCAATTTGGAACGCTTTCATCATGATCCCTGGGTTCAGCGATGCAGGCACGATTTCGACGCTTGCATATGGACCCCCTGTTGGAGGCGGAAAAAATGATCAGCTTCGTCCAAGAGGAACATGGGGGCCATACGCGCTGATTGTGGATTAGTCTAGATCTAGTCTGATTTCGAGACTTCAAGTCATCCACCCCTTCCAGCTATTTCCAGGTTGTTTTTTGTTTAAACGCCTGGCTGTATTGTGGTTAGGGCATCATTGTCCCATGGAGGGCTTGGAGAAATTGCTGCATGGTGGCGATGGGGCGCTTCATCAACTGCAAGAGGTATGGAGCCCAGCAGGAACGCTAAAAACGTGGTTGGATGTCTAGTGGCAAATTGATGCAAATTCTAGACATGCTGGTTATTGCTGGTTCCCTGCTATTTTGTTGGCTGTGTTCTTCTCAGCAACGGAGGATATGTTGCCAGCAGAATCACATGCGTAGGGGATCCACCATGGGGCCAGGTGTTGGATGAACCATCCTTCAGCAGCAATGTTGGAGGCCTCCTGAGCGTTTTTTGGGGTGCGCGTTGATTGCTTATTGCTATGACTAGTATAAGATATTATAGCATAGTATAAGGTACTATAACATACTATCCAGCATACGATTAATATGATACTTAATATAAGATACTACACAAATTCCATAACACGCTATAACACGCTAGATATACCATCTATAACCTACTATAACATACTCTAACATTACAACCAACAATGCCACCAACAATCATGAGGCATACCTCACCTGGGAGAATTCTACTCGGCTGAAGCGCTCAAGCGTTTAGGGTGCGGAGCCCTGGTGGTTTAGGGTAGGCCATTCTGCAGGGCACCGGGGAATCAACCATGGCTGGCTGGTTACATTCCACCAATTTATGGGATTGTCCATGAAATACGACGTAAAAAGCCTCCATTGATCGGGGAGTTCATCGATTAGCCATGTTTGATTGGGGTAAACACTACTAGTTAGTACAGTAGATACTTCATGATACTTCGATACTCACAACTACTGCATATTGGATCATCACAGTATGATGCAATATATGTAGGATGCATCCAAACAGACAGCAAAACAGATCTATCTGACGAAAAACACTGTATATACCTAATAATAATATATACGTGTATATATATATATATATATGTATTGAGTAGTACATCTTTATGATGTTTGGAATTCCCACAATCGTTTCCCTGACCACAACATAGCTGCCACGTCTGCGACTCCATGTTCAGGCTGGCAGCCAAAGCCGAAGGGTCGAAATGTTGGCCGGGGGGCCTCGAGTTGGATCTTCGAGGGAACCGATATTCCAAAGATAGTATACAAAGGTAATCAAAGATATACCCTCTGGTAATTTGTTACGTAGCTATTGAAAATGGTGATTTATAGTGGATTTTCCCATTAAAAATGGGTATTTTCCATAGTTATGTGAAAGTTTACCAGAGGGTACAAAAAGTAGACGAGGTTAACATGTTGCCTCCCTTTGATGACGTATCCTTGGCTGAAGTCTGAAAGACTGACTTCAGTGGTGCTTCAGCTCATCCAGCAACCAGGGTCTACAGTAGATCAACGACAGGTCAGCCAGTGGAGTTTGGTTGATGCAAATGGATGTGGGTCAAAATGGAAGACCTAGGGAACCACAGATGTTAGTCTAGTTTAGTATTAACCATCCAATTATTGGGGTCCCTAATTTTGACCCATACCCAAATGATGCAACTGTGCCTTGATTGATTTGCTGAAGGCCATTGGCTCTAGCACGTCAGATCCTTTGCTTATCTGACAATGAAGGGATCGATGATCGAGGTGATACGTGAACCCATGACCCTCCCAACGTGACCACAGGTAGACACAGGAAACATAAGCTATGTACATCCGGGTGACACAACAACATTTTTAGACTTGTGCATCAAAAACAGACAGGAGTTAGAACAGTTCACCAAAGGATACAAAAGGCATGTTCCCATTGACTCTTGATAAATCGTTGGTGGATTCCTGATTCCCATCACCCTGTGCCATGGAGAGCAAGCCAAGTGCAAGTGCTGTGCCCACTCTGCCCCTGCCAGAGTTGCCTTCGGAAAATGTAGAGGAAGTGGATCATTGCGGACAGGCGACCCACAAGGCACAGGAATTCCCTCTGATTTCCTCTGTGTTTTTGGATTTTTGTAGAAAATGGTCACCATTTTGTCTGGAATTTGCTGGGTGGAATGGTTATGCCAGATAAATATATACAGTAATTATCCTTATAATTCCCTATTATTGGTTGCCAACCACAGCTCTTCGATTGATCCAAGATCGTTTGCTCCCTTAGCGATGTCATGCGATGTCTCAGACCAGTGGTTCACTGCAGAGGTACTGACATTGCATTGTCCCATTTTGAGAGGCTTTCATAGTGGGGTAGTTAATCAAGGAAAGACAATGCGATTCACTTGATCGCCTGGCAATGTTGAATCAAGGAATATAATCACATATGGATATACAGAATATACGTTATTATATATATATATGAGTGATTCTTATACAGTGCATGTTAGTGCATGTTCATAGGCTGATACTGTATCTAACATCATAGTCATCGATAAAACGCGCTACGTGCACATCATGATCAACTTTATCATACCTTGGGATTAACATCTTCCTGGATCTTCGATATAGGCATTATATCTTGATTAGAATCATTTATATTTATAGATAATCATTATATCTTGCATCCATTGCATCTATATCTTAATACGTTTATAGTCAATAAAATCCTATATAAAACCACAGAAACCTTGTAATTTAACTTATAATCATTATAGTTATATATCTTAATATTCTTAATCCAATAATTTTACATCATTTACATATCAACTCATCATTCTATATCCAGAAATATTCTTCCAGCATCTCCCTGAAGGTCTTGAATCAGTCCAGTCCCTTCAGCAATTTCAACGCCTTCGCGGACCTTGCGCTCCGCAGCGGCGTGGCCATGCACAGCGGCCTCTGGGGTTTTCAGGCGCTGGAGCAGCTGGGAGCGAAGGTTGGAAGCGAGGCGCAGAAACGTGGCCGAGGGTCGGTTAGATGATCATCATGGTAAAACCATGGTAAAACCATGGTAAAACCATAGTAAAACCATAGTAAAACCATAGTAAAACCACAGTAAAACCATAGTAAAACCATAGTAAAACCATAGTAAAACCATAGTAAAACCATAGTAAAACCATAGTAAAACCATAGTAAAACCATAGTAAAACCATAGTAAAACCATGGTAAAACCATGGTAAAACCATGGTAAAACCATAGTAAAACCATGGTAAAACCATGGTAAAACCATAGTAAAACCATAGTAAAACCATAGTAAAACCATAGTAAAACCATAGTAAAACCATGGTACAACCATAGTAAAACCATAGTAAAACCATAGTAAAACCATAGTAAAACCATAGTAAAACCATGGTAAAACCATAGTAAAACCATAGTAAAACCATAGTAAAACCTTGGTAAAACCATGGTACAACCATAGTAAAACCATAGTGAAACCATAGTAAAACCATAGTAAAACCATAGTAAAACCATGGTAAAACCATAGTAAAACTATAGTAACATCCACATCCTATGGTGATTTGTCCACATTGTAAAACCATGTAGTGTGGGTAGAACAATAGTAAACCATCCCCCAATTTCACCATCCATAGGTGGTATAAACCATTCCCAATTTTTAAATGGGTAGTTTATTTATGACATTATGTTACCCAGATTAGTAACATTTATTATTGAACTATTAGTATACTAATAATGGTAGTAACTAGCAATAATGGTGTTATACTCATAGTATATTCACTACTAAGAATGGATTAATTATACTAATAGTAGTAACATTTATATAGTTTTTTTTTTTTGTTGGGATTATACGAAGTATTTATTGGACAATACTATTATAACTCGTATCATTATTGGATAATAGTTGATATTTGTAATTAGCATATATTAAAAAATAGTATCTAGTACTCCATCTAAATGCTGGTTGTATTAGATGATAGTAATTGACTATACTAATACTGCTATACTAATTAATATGATAACAATAATTTTAATGGGACTATAATATATTTATGAGTATTTGGAAACTGGATTCCAGCAGTATGACCTGCTTCCGAGTGCTGTAATGACAGGAAGTCTGATACAATAATGATACTGCTGATAATTAACATATATATATATATATACATAATTTATAATTAAATCGATAATCAAATGACATGATAGTACTAATCACTAATCATAATACAGCAGTGTGATAGGCGAGACGTGAATTATTCGTACTGGAAGCACTGGAAGTGTATAAGAAATGCGTATCTCGGAGATATCTGCAAAGTAATAACATAGGATAGCACATTATCTGTGGGATCCCAACTGCTTCAAATCCCACCGTCCTTTGGTGACTATGATGCTTTACCTTGGTACAAACGTCACTTTTTTCGCGGGCTGCCTTGAGAAGCAAAAAACAACTCTGGAGCTTGTGGTGAATCGGTGAAGTTTTATGTGAGATAGTGAGGTGATGACTAGTTGATGAATAGTTTGTTGTTGTTGTTGTTGTTGATGATGATGATGATGATGATGCAACTTTGTTATCCCCTTTGCAGGAATGGCAGCAAAAAGCCACTGATGCAAACCGTCAGGCATGGTGTTTTTGCTTCTTGATCACGGCATGAGTAAAAATGGTTGAGCATCCGAAACATTTTAGATGTCCATGGAAAATATGAATAAATTTACGGAGTCAATCATGTTGCTTTGGACATGTACCAATGTCTTCTCTGATTCTCACCTTGAGACAGGCCACTCCTTTTGCTGTGAAACATCCCACTTTCTCCTGAAAATTTGGCGTCCATCTCCGAAAAACTGGGCCAGGAACTTGGATGTTTGGAGAGATTCACTTGTTGTACGTCACAATCTGAAATTGTTCATTCGTCATTCTGTCATAGTCTATCCAGATTTTCATGAATATGAATACAGTATAATATATATATATATATATATATGTACATAGAATGCACATATAGATTCGATATACACGTCCCACGGTTTTTCCGCAGCGCAGGTGCCGCGCCTGGAGAACTTCGATCGTTTCGGGCAGCGGAGAGATGCGGTGGCCTTCCATCCCGCGTATCACGAGTTGATGGAGCTTGGGAGCCTCGGACCCTCTAGGTGATCTGCTGATCCCGCAATTTGGGTATGGGTCAATATCTATAGATACCATTTTTAGTGGGATGAACATCCATTTACCAGCTATTTTGGGGTTCACCTAGGTACCAGGGTTTTGACCCATCCCCATTTCTGAAGGTTTTTGAATGGAACATCCATAGGAACATCCCAATACTGGTTGGTGGTGACTGGAACATGGCTGGATTATGACTTTCCATAGATTGGGAATTTCATCATCCCAACTGACTCATATTTCTTGAGAGGGGGTGAAACCACCAGCCAGCAATAAAATGTATGATTTAGGGGTACATGACATGACTTAGGAAACCAATTGAGCAATTTGGTGGAGTTGGGAGTCTTCCAAGAATTTGGCAGGGTCTGTGATCTATGTTGGAGGGGAACGTAGATGCTAATTATGTTGAATATATGAGACCATCCATTTCGGAAGCGGAGTTTTCTTGAACATATTTAGATAGTTTGGTTGACCTGGATGTTTTCCCGAGGGTTAGTGGGAACGAACCATGGACCTGTGAAAAAATAGGACCGTATCAGCACTGTTTTTAGAGGCTGGCCATGGATACAGCAGGGACCCCTTTTTTCACGACTGGTGGAGATAACATTCCTGGAGGAAGCTCAACAAAATGATCAATTTGTGGGACTCAATCAACATTTCAGGTGCCAACAAGGCTTGGATCCATTTCTCTAGAGAACAGCCTGCAGAATCGCCTTCAGAATCCTTGTTTTCTTTCTGAATCTAAATCAAGAACATATCAACATGTTGAAAATGGGCAACTTGACCCCTAACTAAGTTTGAAGTATACATAAATTCCCTAAATCATATGAGTTTTCTGGGCTTAAATCGAAATCTAATCCAAGGCTCTCCTCCGGCGCGGCAGCCTTCGCATGGCAGAACTTCCGAAGGTCATCGATTTCGGGGAGATGATGGGATGAAAAAAACGGGAAAATCCCATGATAAATGGAGGTTTCTAGCTGGAAAATGCTGGAAAAATCTTAGGAACGTCATGGGAAATCCATGATGTGTCAATATGTGTCAATGGAGCTTTTAATGATCATGGAAAAATATATGGGACACTTAAATCTCGTATAAATATAGATTTCAAAGGAGCATCCCGTTGAATAATCCAAATGGGTCGGCCATGCTTGGTCATTCCAACACACCGCCTTTGCTTTTTGAAGGAAGATCCTGATGTGTTCCCAGCGTGTTGCAGTTGTTTTCTTTGACAACACAATGCTATATTTTTTTCCGGATCCTTAAAGTCTTTACCTCCTGTTGTTTTGACCAAGAAATTCCTCAGTGGTTTTGGGCATGTAACTTGGACATGTTTTACCGGCGTCGTCACAAGGCCTGGAGCTCATGTGATCAGAGGTGCCTTGATGCACCTGATGTATCAGTTGGATCAAGGAGTTTGCTGCCCCATCACCATGACCTTTGCCCCTTGGTGAGGTCCGTTGAGGTACCGAAAGCTTAAGGAACTGTTGGAACTGTTGTGGGATATATATTAAGGGGCTACGCCCCCTGCCGCCGACCCCTGGGAGAGAGGGGGAGTTGACACATACGTCACTTCCGGAACCTAGAAGAAAACTATATGGGTACGAGTCAAAATACAAGGTATGGATCAAGGCGCCAAAGCTACACACGATCCATACCCCCCAATCCATACTTTGATCCATACCCTTGATCCATACCCCAGATCCATACCCCTTTCTCGTTGAAGAAAGACTGATGCTGGCCTTAACGATGCTTTTTATCCTAATATATACTGCTTCTGGTCGTCGTACTGCTACTCCCATCGCTACTACCGTTGCTTCTACTGCTGCCTCCACTGCCTCCGCTGCTGCTGCCGCCGCCACTACTAGTGATTATCCTCCCAGGAGCTGCTGCTACTGCTCCTGCTGGTCGTGCTCTCGCTGCTGGTGCTGGCTCATGTTCTCCGTGTGCTTCGGTTGTTGGACAAATGTAACTAGTTGACTAGCTACTCGCAATATTGCAAGTGCACCTTGGAGGCTTGTAAGACCGGTTCTACTTCCACTAGGTGCTTATTGTACTTCTAGTGGTGCTATGACTACAAGTCCTTCTGTTTCTACTTTGCCTGGCACGTGTAGAACTAAAAAAGCATGGTGTCCTGATCCATACCCCGATCCAGACCCGTTCCATGCCTGGTCCATATCCGAACCCAGTCACGCCACAACAAGTGCCAATATGAACGTTGCTTTCTGAACCTACAAGAAAGCTAGCTGTCTGACCTGTCTTCCAGCCGCCAAAGCTCACACACGGCGCGATTGCCATGCCAAAACAGCAGGGTCTTGAGGGACGGACCGGGCCTGCGGGCCACGGCCGCCACGACCTGTCTTCCAGCCGCCAAGGCTCACACAGGGCGCGCTCGCCACACCGAAACAGAAGGGCCCTGAGGGACGGATGGGGCCTGCGGGCCACGGCCCCCACCTGCCTAACGTCGCCCCCTGAACCCACAAGAAAAGCAGCCGTCTGACCTAAAACGGCGCCTCCGCCACAGCCAAACAGCAGGGCCCTGAAGGATGGACCGGGCCTGCAGGCCACCGCACTCAGTGCCTAACGTCGCTTTCTGCACCTACAAGAAAAGTAACTCTCTTTGCTGTCTTCCAGCCGCCAAGGCTCAAACACGGCGCGCTCGCCACACCGAAACAGCAAGGCCCTGAGGGACGGACCGGGCCTGCGGGCCACGGCCCCCACTGCCTAACGTTGCTTTCTGAACCTACAAGAAAGCAAGCTGCCTGACCTGTCTTCCAGCCGCCAAAGCTCATACACGGCGCGATTGCCACGCCAAAACAGCACGGTCCTGAGGGACGGACCGGGCCTGCGGGCCACGGCCGCCACGACCTGTCTTCCAGCCGCCAAGGCTCACACAGGGCGCACTCGCCACACCGAAACAGCAGGGCCCCGAGGGACGGACGGGGCCTGCGGGCCACGGCCCCCACTGCCTAACGTTGCTTTCTGAACCTACAAGAAAAGTAGCTGTCTGACCTAAAACGGCGCCTCCGCCACAGCCAAACAGCAGGGCCCTGAAGGACGGACCGGGCGTGCGAGCCACGGCCGCCACGACCTGTCTTCCAGCCGCCAAGGCTCACACAGGGCGCGCTCGCCACACCGAAACAGCAGGGCCCTGAGGGACGGACGGGGCCTGCGGGCCACGGCCCCCACTGCCTAACGTTGCCTTCTGAACTGCCTAGAAACGAGCTCCAAACTTAGCTTGCCCGTGTCTTCTTGCAGCTGGCGTGCGTCCTGCACAGGTCCGGTCAAAGGACCCCTCCGCAGGGCCCAAACACCATGGCACTGAAGGACGGATCGGGCCCGCAGCCGGCAGCCCACGGTGCCTAACGTTGCTTTCTGAACTGCCTAGAAACTAGCTTCAAACCTTGCTTTTCCCTGCCTTCCTGCACTGCCAACTGCCACTTTGCCTGCGTCATCTTGCAGCTCAAACCTAGCTTTTCCCTGCGTTCCTGCACTGCCAACAGCCAACTTGCCTGCATTGTCTGACAGCTGGCTTTCGCGCGGCACAGCTCCGGTCAAGGGACTTCCTCGCAGGGCTAAAACACCATGGCAGTGAAGGACGGATTGGGCCCGCGGCCCGTAGCCCAGAGTGCCAAACATTACTTTCTGTCGCTCGTTTACTCTTGCTTCTGCATTCTTGCTTCTAACTTCTTGTTTCGTGCTTCTTTGGCTTGCTACGTTCGCTGAGACTGCCTCTCCTTTCTCGCTTCCTTTTTTGGGCTTCTTACTCTGCACCTGGCTTCCCTTTCTGTCCCCCCCTCGCTTGCCCCTCACTTGCACTGCACAACACTTGTTGCTTGTAATCTCTTCTCTGACGCGCTCCCCCTGCTGTCGGCAGGGGTCGGCGGATATATATACAGTATATATATATATATATATATAATGGATTAGCTGATCCCCAAACAAATCACGTAAAAGTATGGAAAATTTGATGAGTTACAGTTACTGGTGAAGAAAGACACCAAAATCTGTGGTCATTCATCCCTAATATTTTGGCTTGGCTCCAAAGGGGAGATTAGTTACTCCTGGGGCTAAACAATGTTAAGCCGGGCAGGCGATTTGGGAGCCATCACCAGAGAATCCCAATTAGACAATGGGTTTGGCAAGGCTCAGAACTTCATAGATCTGGAAGTGAAGTTTCAAGCTCCGAGTGCCAGGATATTAGCATGCTGCATACCCTTATCTTGAGTTGAGAGCTTGAGGGAAGCTTTGAAGTCTCCCTCTGGTACTTTAACATAGCTATGAAATGCTATATATATATATGAAAAAATCACCCTTTTCAACAGGTAAATCATCTATAAACGAGCCATTTTCCATAGCTATGTTGAATTACTGGGGGTAGATCAAGGATGATTGGGGGTTCTTCCTCACATGACCAGTCATCAGGTTGGTTGTGGCAATATCTGTAGCTCGCTTTGTTCCATCCAACAGTAAGATGATAGTCCATTTAATCCCAACTAGGTCACTCATAGACCGAGTAATAATGAATTTGGATGAGCATCCATACATTTACCCTCTGGTAATTTAACATAGCTATTGAACATGGCCATTTATAGTGGAATTTCCCATTAAACATGGTGATTTTCCATAGTTATGTTAGTTTACCAGAGGGTAATTCCAAATGAATCCCCAAATTTACCCATCATTAATTCATCAGTGGTGGCTTGACAAATTTACCTGGGACCGATGCCGTTTTCTCAGGCAGCGATTCCTGCTCTGGACATGGCGATGGTGGACAGGAGCAAGTCGGAGACGGCTGCATTTCTACGAAGTTTCTCGACACTTCTACGACAATTCTTGAACAATCCCAGGAAATGGTACATGACGATATGGGGGTTTCCTAAAATTATCGGTACCCCCAGATCATCCAAATTGAAACTGAAACCTCTGGTTTTGGGGATCCCCCATATGGAAGAAACAACCATATATAGTAATAGTAATTTTGTACTTGGTCTCTCGAATTTTGTGGCGCTTCTTCGATGATCTTTGGATTTTGTAGATGGTAGTAGTTGGGTTGCAAGTAACCCAATGCCATACACATAGTACACACTTTCCACTTATGTGGATTAGTGGTATTTATGATATTCTCATGTAAAATGACGCCCAAACATACTGGGTTATTGGCATGGTGACTCTGACATGTTGTTACCATTCTAGGGAGGTGGAGCCTTTAGTTGGATGTGCTTCTCCCCAGCACCTGAGGCTTCAGAGAGAAGCTGACTTCTGGGAAGTACTGCGCCAAAGATGTGCCAATCTCCTCCAAAGATGGGGCCACCTGTGGCATGTCTATGACTGAGAAGCAAGGAGGTTCAGATGTGCGAGCCAACATGACGGAAGCCAAACCTGTCGTACCTGGGAAGGCAGCAGCAGGTGCGCCAGCTGCAGGTTGATGGAAGGTGGATGATGGTGGTACATTCTTTTTCTTAATGATATGATATCTTGTGGGTTATGAAATGCACAGCATTGTTTGACTAGTTTGTTTTGCTTGCTATATTCTGGGTTTGTCCCACCGATTTTACTATTGATTGCCTCTAGAAAGATTTCAGACAACATTAGATGCAATGTCTCCATTCTATCTCATTATCCAGTCTTATCATGAGTCTTATCGCTTCGTCGCTTCGTATTCTTGGCGGCTTGGCGGTCGCCGCCCATCCCGGATCTATCGGATCTATCGGCGGTCGCTGATGCAACAGGTCCCATCTTCCCAGATTTCAGGGATGTGCAGTCGAAAGCCCATGATTGACGTTGTTTGATGGGGCAGAACACATGATTTCCATTGTTTGGTGTCGACCGTCAATGTTCCGTTTCTCAAATTTACACACCAATCCGTTGACATTTGAGAGGTGATGCCTTTTGGTTGGTTGGGCACAAGTGGTTCACATCAGCACCGATGAGTGATGCCTTCCTCACCCTGGCCCAAAGCAAAGAGGGTGTGAGCTGCTTCGTTGTTCCACGCTGGCGGCCAGATGGACGAAACCTAGTGGCGATTCAGGGCATCTATTCTACTTTACTGATCTTTTCTGAAGGCAATGCTTTGTTTTGCCCTCCTTTTTGCTTTACAGCTACAGTATGTGTTTTTGATGTGTTCTCCTGTGCAAAGGAAAAAATGCTGGCTTCAATGTTCAGCGCCTGAAAGAGAAGATCGGAGACAAATCGAACGCATCCAGTGAGGTGGAATATCGCAACGCTTGGGGCGTCATGATTGGAGAGCCTGGCCGTGGTGTCAGGACCATTGTCACTCAGCCAATTCTGGGAAGTGTGTTTCTCTGTTCAAAACCCCTGTTGGTTGATGATTATAGGGCCCAATATATTGGGGATTATCACACTGCATTATGGGCATTCCTATTAACCAAGTGTTTTTCTTTTTTTTCTCGTGTATGTTCCCCACCATCAACCAAAGCCAGTGGATGTGGGAACAGCCCCCTGAATTTTACTAACATGATACTTCAACACCAAACCAGATCTGTAGTCGCCTCAATTCTTAGCGATTTCATGTTTGTTTTTTTTCCCCATTGTGGCAGCCCTATGTATGTATATAGCACATGTATCATCATGTATCCCTTTTTTTACGTTGATTCCTGGAGGTTGAGATGGTGGTCCACACGCGCTTGGATTGTGTCATAGGCAGCTCGGCCCTAATGCGATTGAGTGCCCAGCTGGCCTTCCATCATGTGACCTGGCAGCCCGGGGCTCGGCGGACAATGGGATGGCGGCTGGGCTCTCGTTAAAGCAATGGCATTAAAGAATGGCGAACGGCGCAAGACGTTGGTGTAGCAGGGCATGTAAGTTTTTTTTCCCTCCGAAGGCATGGAAGGTTCATTTCATCGATAGCATTCCATTGCATAAAATCAACTAAGTTTCGGTAAATAAGGTTCATGGACTCAGGCTGTCCCACGAGTATTGAGTTTCCGGACGGAACACAAATCAAGGAAACCTATTTACGAGTATTAGCAAGTATCTGCATCCTGTTGCATCTTACAAATCAAGTAGGGACAAAACATTGGGCCCTGAAGCGTGTTTGCTCATGTCATATGGGGGTTTCCATAAATTGGGGATCCCCAAGATGGTTGGTTTATAATGGAAAATCCATCTATAAATGGATGATGAAATGAGGCACCCCCATTTTAGGAAACCTCCATATGATTTAACCAAGTTCATGGACGCTGCACACTATCTTTGCGAACCACACACATATCGAAACATACCTGTAAAGTGTTACTGGAAACATGTGTATTTGTTTTGCAATCTGGAAAGATGATGAAGATGATAATGACGATGTCTGATGATGATGATGATGATGACGATGATGACGACGATGATGATGATGATGATGATGACGATGATGACGACGACGATGATGATGATGATGACGACGACGACGATGATGATGATGAATGATGAATGATGAATGATGCACGATTGACCATTCATGATGATTGATGAACGATAGTGACAACTGATGACCATTGATGGCGATTGATGATCATGAGTGACATTTGATGACTATTGATGAACATTTCACTAAACATTCATAGTTTCTTCATGTTTCTTCATGTTTCTTCATGTTTCTTGTGGGCTTTCGATGGCTTTCTAAGTTTCGACATCAACAATGACAAGCCTCATAGTTTCTAAGCGCCCTTAGATTCCACCTGTGAGGCGACTGAGCGTTGGGCCTTCGGGCGGCCGTTGATTCAGCAGCGCTTGATGCGACATGTCCTGGCGGATGCTTGGCGTAGCCCAGTCATCCCATGGACCAAAGTTTTACGATTTTTACGAATCTCTGGGACACCCTCTGGTAATTTGTTACGTAGCTATGGAAAATGGTGGATTAATAGTGGATTTTCCCATGAAAAATGGTGGATCTTTCAATAGCTATGTGGCAACTTACCAGAAAGATCCAGAGAGGGGATCAGAAAGCTCCAACTGAATGCTTGCTATTGGCGACATGTGCGCAGGTCGATGTAGGTCAGTTGCAATGTAGTGTAGGTTGATGTAGGTCATTTGCAGTTGTATTTTCTACCCAACTCAATAACTGAATTGCAGTAAACAAATGACCCAAGGTCAAGTTGAACTGTATGGGTTTGCCAGTCCTTTGAAATGTGTGTTAGACACTGCTCATCCCAGTGTCTGGGCACAAACAATTGACCTGTTTTTCGCATCGTTTTATCGTTTTTTTTTTGTATCAACCCAATCATGTTTCATATTTTGGGACATTCTGACATGTGTTTCACCGTGATTTCTCCAATTCTGATTCTCATGATTCCAAGATGTTCCAATCATTCCTGTAGCCATTCAGTAATCATTGCTACATTAATTATAATTTTGTTTCGTTATCCATTCATTCACAATGTATGTATAGTAACAATATATATATATATATTCAAGCATACTTGTCATTCCATGCAAAAGAGTTTGCATCAATCCTTTATCAATCATTTACTATTCGTTAATCATGATCATTCTTCCAATTCCAGAATCAATTGAGGATTATTTATTCTACTCCTTAACAATGATCATTTTTCCCGAAGCACTAAAAACAGTTCTATGTTGCAATGATTAAGATTCATTCACCATTCAATCATTCACAATAAATATGTCCTCCACCCACCAATCGTCAACAATGATGATAGGAAAGTCTGGTGGTCACGACGGCTCTGTGGAGGGTATGCCCTCTTCAGTGCTCTTCACCAATCATTCACCACTTGGATCATCCCACGAATAGTGCTTAGATTCTGTGGATGGGCCAGCGAAATCCAAAAAAACCAGCTGATAGGTGATCTATCCCATGATTTACAGGCTTTCAATCATCCAAGGTGGTGCAGGATTTCGCAACCATCCACAGTAGTAAACCTATATATCTGGTTACTAAGTCCCTGCACTATACGTAGCCAAAAATCCCATTTGCAGGAAACTAGTTGCTATCATCCATAGGCAGGATGACCAAAAGCAAGCAAAATAGCTAAGTGTTTTTTTTTGAGGCCATTAACTGTATTGTAGATACAGTTAATATCAGTTAATGATAATGGGGATGGGTCAAAACCTATGAAATTACAATAGTTGTGGGAATACACATCCAGTCACCAACTGTTTTAGGGTACCATTCCAGGGTTTTGACCCATAACCATATATATATATATATCTAAACCTTAAACCAACTCTATGTATCTATATATATATATATATATGTATCATTAAATTATATCTACCATGTATCTACCATAAACATGTCTATTTCACCACATATATATATATACCATAAACATGCACTCACCATTCCTTTTCAGGACTTAGCCCTCGAATCCGAAGCCGCCATGGCCACCTGGTTGCGCCTGGCTCGAGCCCTCGACCAACAGGAAGCTGATTTGGCCAGGATTGCCACGGCCATCAGCAAGTATTACGTGGCTGGGACCTGAAGAATGCGAGAAAAAATCGGAGATTTTCATGGGGATTTGGTGGGATTTAATGGGAATTTCATGAGGATTAATGGATTGGATCGGGATTTAAGGAGTTTTTTTTAATGACAATGATATAATTATGGAGATTTAATGGGATTTAATGAAGGATTGAATGGGTATTTAATGATGGGATAAACTTCATGGGTTTTTTCAGATCAGATCTCCGAACTTTGCAGAATATGAAAAAAACATGTGAGTTCTAGGTTTTCCAGGCTATCCAGAATATTGGAAAATGGAAAGCATGACAAACCAACTTGTTCTTATGGGGATGTTATAGGAATACAAGGGGATATATATAGAATCTATAGAACCAAGCATGGGAATGTACTGGGATATGAAACGGTTTCAGGAAAGAAACACGGTGGATCAACCAAGAAAAGTGGGATTTCTGAAACGATTCGTAAATCAGCTGAATTGTGGGTATTTCTATCCGTTTGTTTTGTCCAAGGAAACTATGGCCACCCAGAAACTATCGCGAAGCAGACATATGGCCGGAAAATCTCTATTAAGAGAGTCAATGACATGGTGTATGCATTGTTTAGTGGTAAAACTTGGAGAATCAACCCACTAAACAAGTAGTTTCCACTGTTCAACAACCATTTATTGTACGTTTTGTAGAAACAGAAATTGACCCCTGTTCGTTTTCAATGGAAAATCACGATAAAAATGATGGTGCGTTCAATTTTTCAGCAAATCAAGGAAATGATGGTGCCATGTTGAATGGTTGCTATTGTTATGGGTGTGGGTCAAGTTAGTGTGTACTTGAAAGACTTGATGTTTTAATTGTGTTGAATTCTGACTCAAAGTTGTCAAACACTATAACATTGAGGTTTCGTGAGAAGGTTGAATTTTGATGACCTTGGAACCCAAAGCAATTTTGGGAATCAACCATTCTACTTCCTTGGATGTTTCAAGCAGACGTGGTAGGTAGAAATTAGCAACCTAGTTCGGGGAGGGGAGAGCTGGTGCTTGCATTAAAACCGAGGCCAATTTCTTTGATTTTTCAGTTGCATTGGGGAGTTTTTCGTCATCTTTTCGGTTGCTATTATGTGCTATTCCATGTTTTCTTGGACCAGCCCACATCTCCAGCAGTTTGTTGGTAAATTCCCAATATGTGCCAAACCTGGGTGCAATGTGACACATTGCCCATACCCATAGTGAAGGATGTTCATCAATCCAATCACCAGGATTCATATACCCCTTATGTTTGGAATCCCATTCATGATGGTGGGATGACCATGGCCCATATCTTATCTTTTAACATGTTTTAACCATATCTTAGACATATATGGACGTTTCCTAAACCTGGGGGTGCCCCAAGTCACCATGGGTTTCAGGTTTGCAAGCGTTCACCACTCGTGGCCTATGAAGCCATGGAGTGCCACGGGGGCAATGGCTATGTGGACGACTCGCCCATCGCACGGCTCTTTCGACAAGCGCCACTGAATGCCATTTGGGAAGGCTCTGGCAATGTGAGCCCTGCTTGAATGTGATGCAAAGTTGATATGTTTTTTCTAGTGAATCTTCAAGTGAGGTGATTAGCCAGTATTGGCCATATATTTTCACTTTATCTCCATAACTCCATAACTCATTATATATCCACTTATATAATATATATATAATATATATATATATATAATATATACACAGTAATATATATAATATGTATATATATATAATATACGTATATATAATGTATGTATACATATGTAATGTATGTATGTATGTATACATATGTAATGTATGTATGTATACATATGTAATGTATGTATGTATACATATGTAATGTATGTATGTATGTGTATATATATACACACATGTAGAAATTGTGTATGTATATATAGGTATAATTTGTGTATATAATATAACATGTATCTATAATATATATATATATATTGTATGTATATCCTATGTATACACATATAATATATCTATATATTGGATCATAATGGGATATCTCCAAGCTGGAATTCCCGAGGATATGCCTGGACATCCTGCGAGCCTTGCGCAAAGAGCCGGAGACGGCCTCGGCCATCCTGGCTGAACTGCAGAGAGCCTCGGAGCTCCTTAGCTCGAGCAGCCAAAGAGCTGGAGAGGTGGCCAAGATTTGCTTGAGATTTTCGTGATTTTCTGGGGCCATTTTTACAAAACCCCCAAAAATGGGACCATTTTCTGACATAATTTGAGCATGTGATTTTGGGAATCGTTTTTTGTAATTATGCTCAAATTATGGTCTATGTTTCTTTTTTTCGGACCATTTTAATAAGATATCAGGTGGGGAAGGGCTACCTGAACACCATAGAACACATCAAAGTGGCTTTGTCGGATCCTATGGACAGCAACTTTGGTCGCGAGAGCGCAGATCAGCTGGCCATTTCTTTCCAGGCAAGCTGCCTCCTTCAATACGGCGATCCCTTGGTGGCTGAAGCATTTTTGGCCACTCGCTGGACTCAGCTGGGACTGACAACGCAGTCTTTGGGAAGCGCCACGTCGTCGTTGCCAGAGAGCGGCTTGGAGATTTCATGGGAGTCCTGTTCAAAAGCAGCATATGATGATCAGGGATTGATGCTGTTGAAATATGTTGAAATTCCAACAGTTGTAAATTCTGTCCAATGTCTTGAAATCCAAAGAAACCTCATGCCTGGTCCATGCGTCAGTTAAAGATCTTTGTGAGATCTTAGGTCTCAAGAGTAGCTTCTTTCAGCAAAAAACAGGGTGCTAGAATAACTTATTAGAAGCCAAGCAATGTCTTGTTCACTACTAGGACACCCAGACTTTTTTTTGCAGCAGCTGCTGCTGCACTGCTGCAGGTCTTATTGATCATCTTTTGGAGCGACTTCGAATGTCCCCCAGTCCTCGCCTTTGAAGTCGAGCCTGGGGATCCGCGCAGGCGGAAAACTCCAGGGCCCTTCTGGGCCCACGGAAAGCTGAGATCTGGAAAAAGGGAGGCCAATGGCATACCCTCTGGTAATTTAACGTGGCTATTGAAAATGCCCATTAATAGTGGATTTTCCCATTAAAAATGGTGATTTTCAATAGCTATGTTAAATTACCAGAGGGTAATGGCCACTGCTGACTCTGTGAATTCACATTCTGGTGAAGCGTTTTTGAACGATTGCGGTGCTGAGTATTGCTGATGCTCTCAGGTTTCCGGGAGCTCAAGTCTGGGCGCCGAGTTGAACTTTGCTGCCGAGTGGTTCCTACCAAAAATAGGCTGCCCCATAGCACCAACTCTCGGATGCACAACAAGTCTGTCCCCATATTTTAGGGGAGCTTGGGTCCCTAGCCAGAGTGCGGTGCTATACCCATATAGGTCAAACTCATCTGCCAGCCAAAGTGGATGGTTCCCGACTGGCAGACTCATACCCATGGGGATGGATCAAGACCTATACCATTATTTTTGGGGATGAACATCCATGTAACATCATTTAACAACTATTTGATACTATTTGGGTGTTCACCACAAGGGCACCATAGGGATCCATAGGATACCAAGGTTTTGACCCCCCTAAAACATCCTAATACTTTGATCCTCTTGATGAGTTCAATCCTGCAGAGTCTGCGAATCTGAGGAAGTGCCGGAGTGGATTGAAACTGCCAGAAGACAGCCAGATGCTCAGTGGACCTTTGGGGGTTCAGCTTGGAGAAAAACACAGCATTTGCTGGGACACGTGAAGCACTTGGGTTGTCATAACTTGTGTTTGTCTTCTGCATAGATCTGAATAGCAACACTTGGAACCAAAATCAATGCCGGTTCTGGCTGAGGGACATTGATGGAATCTTCCAACTCTGAACTTGTTGGGTGTTTATTTGTTTTTTGCTATTTTGGAAATACTATGCATAGTGTGACAATGTGTTATATAAATCTATGTATATATATATATGTGGATATATACATACATATGTATTTATATATAGTTCTTGAATGTTCTCTACTTACATATTTGCACATTTAAGAATATTTGATGTTTCCTCCTTACAGTGTTTCGATCTGTTCACGGGTGTCCCCCGAAAGAATCGTTTTTGCAGGTGTCGATCTGAAGTCCAAGTTTGGCAGATCCCCGCGACGGAGATGGGGGGCAATGGTGGCATGGTGATACCAACAAAAAATGGTAACATCTGGGGTAACATCCAGGGATTGGTAAATGTCCCATTTTGGGGCTATTGGACATCACCTTTGAATGGCAATTATAGATGAGATACCTCATGGTTGGGTGATGTTCAGTGGTGACATTTAATGACCCATGACATCTATGGTTAATCTATGGTTACTAATTGGAATAACAATATATCTGGTTCATATAACATTATAGTTGCGATTGGTGGTGGCTGGAACCATGGAAGTTAATGGTGGTTAATAGTGGTTAATAGTGGTTAATCCTGGTTAATCATGGTTAAGAATCACTGGTTGGTGGTTTGGAACATGTTTGATGTTCCCCAATAGTTGGGATGATGATCCAATCTGACTAATATTTTTCAGAGGGGTTGAAACCACCAACCAGATAAGGATGGAAATGGATGGACATGGGTGGAATTGGTTTCGATTTGAGGAATTTGGCTTGAATATGTCTCAGGATATCTCATGGAGGTTGTCTCTTTTGGTTGTGCTATGTCATTATGTTTGCTACGTATGTGCCAAACTGCGTCCTGTCTAACTTTGCATAAGTTGGTTGTTGTCTCCGTTGTGGAACTGCTATTGAAGTCTTGACAGCAAAAACCAACCGTTCCCAACAGTGCCTGTTAACATAGGTTAAATAATTAGATGTTTTGATATTTAAAATATGCTAAACTTAGTTACTTTATGTACTGTGACTAAAGGTTATTAACAGAGATTGTTGAAAGTGGCTGTTTAACATATGATAAATGTTAATAGTTCACACAAACCCTTTGCTGTCGTTGCCACTTGTAGCAGGACACAGTCGTGGCGCATGTCACTTGGGACGTGTCTCGCATGGAGAACAGCTGGCGAAACGAAGGCCTAGTTACCTGTTCTCAGTGCGCCAGCAGAAATGCGTAGGTCTTATTTTTCTTTTTGGCTTAGACAACCACATATTTTTGATTCGATTTTGGCACCTTCCATTTTTTTCACAGTAACATTAGCCATCCAATCTTATCTAATTTTGATGGTTACCCAATGACCTGATCAGGCTGAACTGGCCCATATTCATTCGAAAAGACATGGCTAGCTGGGAAATCCCAATTCTTACTGGGAAATGGGAAGATAGTTGAATCTAAATGAATCTAAGATAACCATAGATAATCTATAATACACATCATATACACATATATATATATAAGGATTACATATAACGACATATATCATCATATAACATCATGTAACATCAAGTAACATCATGAAAATCATGTAACATCAAGCAACATCATATAACATCATATAACATTATATAACATCATATATAATCATGTAACATCATGTAACATCATGTAACATCATGTAACATCAAATAACATCATGAAAAACATGTAACTTCAAGCAACATCATATAACATTATATAACATCATATAACATCATGTAACATCATGTAACATCAAATAACATAATTTAATATTATATGACATCATATAACATCATACAACATCATGTATCATTATATAACATCGTTATATAACATTATGTAATATCTTGTAATATCAAGTAACAACATGTAACATCATGTAACATCAAATAACATCATATAACATTATATGACATCATATAACATCATACAACATCATGTATCATTATGTAACATCATATAACATCATGTGATATTATATAACATCATATAACACCATATAACATGATATAGCATCAAGTAACATCATGTAGCATCAAATAACATCAAATAACATCATACAACATTATATAACATCATATACCATCATATACCATAATATACCATCTTATAACATCATATAACAACATATGACATCATATAACATCATGTAACATCATATAACATCATGTAACATCAAGTAACATCATGTAACGTCGTGTAACATCATGGAACATCAAATAACAACATATAACATTATATGACATCAGATAACATCATATAACATCATACAACATCATGTATCATTATATAACATCATCTAACATGTATACACTACGTTTCTATGAATGTTGATTTTTTTCATTGCCAGCTTTTTGTTTCAGCCAGCGAGTCCGTTGCCAGGCCGGGTGTACTACGCCAGGATCTTGGCTGGCAGAATGTTCATGGAATATGATACCCTCTGGTTATGACTAACAGTTCGCCATGGAAGCCATGGCCCTAATCGAAATAGATGGATTACCGTTCTTTAAAATGGGTGGTTTTTTCCATGGCAAACTGTGAATGTCATAACCAGATGGTATTAATATAGCTATTGAAAATGACCCAGTCGAAATAGTTGATTTACCCATTAAAAGATGGTGATTTTCTATAGCTATGTTATATGGGGTAGTTTCATTTGCCAATATTCACCAGACATTTATGTACTTGTATACTTTTTGGGATCCTGGTTTTGGGAGTAATACCAGAGATGTCCAATAGCTTGGTCTTTGGCAGCCAATTTGAGCCATGCAGATGTGGGAAGATGAGATGCAGAGTTGAAGTCAGAATTTCAGCACGCTCAAAAAACATTGGTTGATACCATCTTGCAATCAAACGTGCCTTGCTGGAAAATATTCCATTTGTAATTGATTTTCCCATTAACATCTCTATCTATATACTTTTTCTTCCATATGACACATCCATTTATATTTATGGTTGATTTCCCAACTAGGCATGTTTGTGGATCGATAAGACTTACATCTGTTTATATTTGCTATACGCTGTGCAAAAACTGATTCTACAATCTTTACCATCAGTTGTGATGGATGGGTGAGAGTCAAAAATCAAGGGGCAGGAAGGAACATGTTTTTATATCAAGTTTTCGTTGATGATTTTTGTTAAAAGAACACCATCCCATTTTTTGGCCGCTTAGTCCCATTCTTGATAGTCGAATCCAGGTGTGTTTTGCAATTTCCCCACATTTCTTGCTCAACACCTCGAACGTTGCACGACTTCCGCACATGGGTCTGAAAAAAAAACAGTACCTGAAAATCCAATTTTTCATGAAGATACCAAAAAAATGTACTAAAATACCTTTTATGATTTTTATATCCAATGGTCCTTACATCACCAAGTCTCACCAAGGCTGCTTCCCAACGGGCGCAAGCCCGAGGAGTAGCAGCGCCGGTGGTGCCCAAAGACGTCGAGGTTCGGAATGGGTCGGACTATGTTGGATTAACCAAAAGAAAGAGAATCTTCATGCTGATTTTAATCTGGATATAGTGGAAAAAATGGAAAAAATAACTAAATACATGGGGATCTCATGGATTTATATAATGGGTATGTCTTATGGGATCAATGTTAGTAAAACAATAGGATCCACCATCCCCAAAATCACAATTTCTGTGGGTGGAATAGCCATCAACCCATATTGGTGGTTTATTATTGCTTTACCATCATTGTTGTCGATTATTATGAAATACAATGGATAGAATCATGGACAATGATGATACACTGGTGTAATTAATGTGAGGAACCCGGTGCCATAATAAACATCCATAAACTATATATATGTATATAAACTTACCATTTGGACATGGTTTATACCACCCATAACAATGCTGATTTTGGGGATTGTTTATTATTTGGTTTACCACATGATTATACATTATATATTCATATGTGGAGGTTTCTTCCCAAGTCACGCAACGTAACGACACGTAATGACATATGTATGTACTGGACATAATGTAGCAGCAAAATGTCATGTCATGTCGTGTAATGTCATGTCATGCAATGCAATGGAATATAATGTACTGTGTATATATATATAAATATGATTAGACATGCATGCAGGCTTAACTGATACTGCGATGTTTTTTTTGGTGGAATTGTGTTTGGGCCTG